ACGGTGGCATGGCGAATAGCGAGGGGCCAGAACCGTAAGGGTAGACCCGAGTCTACCAACATCGTTCTCCCGCCCTCCAAGATGGTCCGGTTCGCTCTCTCTGCCACGCCATTGGATTGAGGGGTGTAGGCCGTGGTGAGCTGCTGCTTGATGCCATGCCGCTTCAGCCAGCTCCGGAACTCCGCTCCCAAGAACTCCCCACCACGGTCACTACGTATCGCCTTCACCCGCTTGCCGCTCTCTCGCTCCACCATGGGCAGCCACTCTTCAATGATGACCCTTGCAGCATCACTCTTCTTTGCAAGTGGAAAGGACCAGGTGAGCCTTGTGTTGTCATCCACCATGGTCATAGAATACAGGGCCCCACCATCTCCCTTCACCTTCATGGGTCCCACGAGATCCACATGCACGAGCTCCACCGGGTCACTCGACTTCCCCTCCACCGAATGGAAGGGAAACCGTGAAAACTTGCTGGTCAAGCAAGTCTCACAAGATCCCACCTCCTTGGGCTCCCCCTTTATCCTCAGCCCCTTGACTCTTTCCTCCTTAAACAGCTGCTGCAACTGAGGTAGCGCCACGTGGCCAAAGCGACGGTGTGCGGTGAGCCAATCCGTCTCACCCGTGCTAGGAGTTACACTTGGAAGCGCAGCCCCTCCATGCCCAAGGAGCCCACCATCACTGTCATCACCACCCCCTCCATTGTCCACGTGGTTAACACGCCCTCCTCTCACATCTCCAGCAGCCAAGCGCGCAGCCGCCTCCTTCCATGGCAGCACCGGTATCTCCCACATGGACCGGTGCATGTCCTTGCCGCCTCGGAGGTCCCACAATACGCGCCCATCCAGAGTTGCCTTGAAAACCTTTGTGCCCAACATCTCCATCTTCATCCCTGCCTCACTTAGGGCCTTGGTAGAGAGGAGGTTGGCACACAATCCAGGAACAAGGAGAACACGCTTCAGCCCCACAAGCCTCCCATCCGCACCCATGAACATGGCTCTCCCCTCGCCACGCACGGGTACAACTTGGCCGGTGGCTGAAACGACGGTGGCTGCCTTTGATGGCCTAACTTCATCCAGTAGATCCTCTCGGTTGGTCATGGTCATGAAGGCTCCCGTATCGATGACCCAATGGGAGGAGCGGTGAAGAGCAATCTTGCTGGCCGGCACAACCATGTCCTCGGGGCACGCCTCCCCTACATGGTAGAACATGCCGCCGTATCCGCCAGCACCTCCTTCGCCCTCCTCACTGCCCATGCCTTCTCCCATAGCTCCATGAACACCCTTGGAGCCCTCAATTGATGGCTGACCAGGCCTCCAACCGTCAGGTAGCTTGCGGCACTTGAACCATGGGTGCCCTTCCACATGGCAATACCAACACTTGCCGCCACACCGCTTGCCTCCCTTGTTGCCACGCTTCCCTCCCGAATGCTGCTCCCCTCCAGAGCCTTCCTTGGCCTTCCCTTTCTTGCTGCCACGCCCCTTGAAGCCCTTCATGCCATAGGCAGAGCCTCCACCTTCACCGGCAGCGGCGGTCAGCTCCTTCCTCCGAAACTCCTCTTGAAGAACTTGTGCGCGAATCCACTCAAGGGACCACGAGTCCTTCATCCCATTAAGGTTGACCACCAAGGGCCCCCACGACTCCGGCAGCAGGGAGAGAGCCTTGTAGCACTTGATTTTCTCAGGGTAGTCCACACCAGCAGCTGAGAGCTTCACATAGAGGTCCCGGAGTTGATCGAACGCTCCTTGTACGGCATCACCCTCGTTGATCTTCACCGCATGGAGTTGTCGCTCGAGCACCACCACCATTGCTTCGCTGCTGGGGGCATGGACATCCTTCAATATCCTCCATGCCTTAGGACCACACTCAGCTTCCTTGATGAGATGCTTGATGTGGTGCAGCTGGTTGGATGAGAGGCATTGGGAGAGAAGGAAGAATCCATCCTTGGACCGGCGATCCCATTCTTTGGTCGCTCCTTCGCTCGTAGGCCTCTTGAATTCTCCATCCATCACTTCAAGCAGCCCATAATGGTTGAAGAGGAGCTCCATCCTGAAGCTCCATGATGCCCAATCATCCCCAGAGAACTTCTCCAGGTTGAATGCCTTCACATCATCCTTAGCTGATGTTGAAACTGAAGCCATTGGCGCAGATCCGCCTGCAACACCTCTTCCCGCTTCCCCAGCGCCTCTCACGCCACCACTGCCATTGGGACCAGCTGGAGCAGAACCTTCAGCCTCCATTTTCACCCACGAACAGAGTAGAACAGCTCTGATACCACTTGTTATAGTCTGCAGTCCACTTAGGGGTCGCGGATGCCCATGAAACCGCCTAAGCAGAATCTGACGTCTTCAAACCGCCTCTGTTCAAAACGCCGTCACGATCAGCTCCGAGAACATACGAGGCTGAAACTTGAACAGCGGTTAGCCTTAGGTGTCTGCTTTCCAACGGTATATTAGTTGCTATTATCAGAGGTGTGTGCACTACGCAGTGAACGAAAACGTAAGCTCGGCTGAAAAAACGTGTATTCTCATTGATGCAAGGAAGAGGTGAGTACAACATTGCCTAGGGGACTCATAAGGGGTTGGGTCATCCTGGGAACTCAGAGAAGGTTGAGTCCTAGGGGAGAAAGGCTAGAGAAGAATGGGAAACGTCCTAGCTAGGTCAGCAAAGCCAACCACACTTGGATGTTCAGAGCTGTACTCAAGGCTACCAATAGTGAGTCAAGCCAACATGAGTCAGCTTGTCTTCCCACTTGCACCCTCTTGCAAGTTGCTTCCAGGAAGACCACACTTCTCAAAAGGAGGGTTGTAGAGTCCCACTTGACCACCTGTACTTCTTGTCTCATTCTCTGTCCCTGCACCATTGGCATGACAACAATGAAAGGGTGGCAAGGGAAATGCTGCCAACAGTGCACCATGACTACGGAACAGTGAATTTCGGCAGCTGTCACGCAATGCTCAGATGTTGGATCGTTCTGAAACTTGGTGACCACTTGCACAGCGGGGCAAAGGACTTCCAGACCGAATTTCAGACCAATCAGATCTCGGTAGACGAGTCAGCAGCCGAAATGGTGAACTCGGGTGTTACCAAAAAGGAGTAACACACACTTCCGGGATGCCATAAGTCTTGAAACATAAAATGTTGTCATGCCTTGGTAACTGCTTCAAAAACTCTGAAACTTTGAGGGTTTGAAGAACACGTGTTGAACAACCTCCCCACAAAATTCCAGAAGCTGAGCAGGCTTGTAGGCCGAATGGGAGTGCGATGACCGTGCCACTGTAATGTGTTGGCACAACAGCTGCTGAGGCCTAGTTCCTCTTACTACTGCCGTGTTGCTCTGATGCGCCTTCACCGGTACTTCTTTCTCATTCTCCAGCACCAGCACCCCAGATTCACGCACCTCCTTCACGCTCCTCTACCCTGCCTCGCGACTTTCCACCCTCTCTTCCACTTGCCTGCGCATTTCGTCCCACCACCATTCCCTCTTCAACAGCTGCACCGTCCTCTCGTGTTCAAGGTGCCCTTGCTTGGTGTGTACTTCCTTGATTACTGCTTTCTTCTCGCCTGGAGCGGACATCACCCTCCCTCTATCCTCCTTCTGTATCTGCAGCTCCTTTTGATACCACCTGTAGTGGTCTCCCCCCCTTCACTCGCACTCTCTCTGTCACTGTCTCTTCTTCTTCAGCTACCCCCTTCAGCCACTTCATGGCCTGCTCATCCCTCGAGATGTTCGCTGGATCCCTAATCTCCTAGGCCTCATTCAGCGCCGCCTGCTTTGTCAGCTGCTCTCTTAATTTTCCCCTTGCATATCTCCTTGTCCTCCGGCGGCCTTCTCCTCCCCCCGTGGAACACCAGTTTGCCGCTGCTCAACTTCAGCTCCCTCTGCTTTACCGTGCCCTTGCCCATCTCCTGCAAGGCCAAGCGCCTCCTGAGTTTCGCTAACATTGCCAACATCACCTTCTTCCCTTCTTCGCCCACTGTCTCTCCCACCTTCTACTCTGGACTCTCCCCTTCCATGCAGGACCAGGCTTCTTGTGAGCCCGCTGCTGCCTATGCTTTCCCTCCAACCTGCACCCGGACCTGTACTGCCTCCGATCTCATCATCTGCTCATCCATTGCATTCCCCAACGCCCTCCTTCCTTCCAGCTTATCCACACCTGGGGCTGCCATGATGTTCTCTCCATTCCTCCTGGCTAACTCTCGCTCTAGAGCCGTGGGCTCTTCCCTTCTGCCCTCCTTGTGAGCATACTCCATACCAGGTCCCGCCTTCCTTTCTTTGCTCTTTCCGTCTGACCCTTCATCTGTGACCCATGCCGTCAGAGCCTGCGTTTCCTGTCCCACCCGATTACGTGGTTAAAGCTTGCTGTAGCACCTCCTAGTCGCTGGCGCCGGTGTCCTTACTGGCTCTACGATGTCCTGCACCTTCCTTCCCCACGCCCTTCTCATACCGTCTATGTCTCCCTTCAGATATCGAGCGGGCACCAGGTTCTGCCAGTACGTGCCGGGCAGATGGGCGCGTGCCCCCACCCTTGCCGATCATCTCTCGCCCCTTGTTCCATTTGCGGCATGATCCTCTCCCTCACCGGTCGTGTGGGCTCTCTGCTGTCCCCTTTTTGAATCCAGAAATTCTACTAGGAACACTATGCTGCCCTGCCTCTCCTGCAGCAGTTTCGTGATCTGAAACCGGTTCTCCAACCGTTCCGTGTGAAGGTCCCTTTCCCCCACCCCCTTCTCTGCTCGAAAAACACCCTGGCACTCCCACCCTGCTACCAACAAATTCGCCTGCCCCCAGCTTGCCGCTTCCGCCTTTATCACATTCTTCACAACAGGTTCCCTCCACATCGCCTCTTGCACCCCTTCCCTGCTCAACAGTTCTAGGGACTTCTCATGCAGCCTCCACCCGGCATGGTGCTCTGCCATCTTCTTCACAACGGGCTTCCCTTCTTGGTAGACCCACTGCTTTACTGCGATCCCATGCCTTGTCACTGCTGCCGGCCCTGCTCCTATCCCCCTTCAGCTCTGGATGTTCTTCCCGCAGCTTCCTCACTTGCTGCTCCGCCATCCCACTTTCCTGCGCTTGCTTCTCTGCCTTTAGTACACGTGCCCGTGCCCCCACCTTCTCGTCTTTTCCTTCTGCTTCTGCGGCTGCTGGTGCGCACGCCCATGCCCCCTTTTTCTTGGCTTTCCCTTCTGCTAGCGCTGATGCCACTACACTCGCCTGTGCCCCCACCTTCGCTTCTTTCCCTTCCTCTTCTGCTGCTGCTGCTACACACGCCTGTGCCCCCACCTTCGCTTCTTTCCCTTCCTCTTCTGCTGCTGCTGTTGCTACACACGCCTGTGCCCCCCACCTTCGCTTCTTTCCCTTCCTCTTCTGCTGCTGCTGCTACACACGCCTGTGCCCCCACCTTCGCTTCTTTCCCTTCCTCTTCCGCTGCTGCTGCTACACACGCCTCTGCCCCCACCTTCTCTTCTTTCCCTTCCTCTTCCGCTGCTGCCACCACACATGCCCGTGCCTCCACCCCTTCATCCACCACTTCCGCTTCCGCCGCTGCTGGTACACATGCTCTTGCCCCCACCTGCTCATCCTTGTCCTCTGCTTCCGCTGCTGCTGGCGGTACTAACATGCACGCCCATGCCCCCACCTTACTCACTTGCTCCCTTCGCACGTCCCTGCCCCCTCGGTGCCGCCGCATGTCAACATGGCCACGCAGCGCCGCACAGGAGCGTTCCGGCTCCTGCTCCTCTTCCTCCTCCTCGTACAACCCCGCTTGCCCCTGAGTTCTTTCTCCCAGCGCCTGCAGTTGGGCTCGTAACTGTTTGATCTGTCCCTCAATCTCCTCGGGTGATCTCCTTGCCTCCCTTACTTTCTCATCGCAGTTCCTTGCCTTATGCCCCTTTTTCCCACATCTTTCACAGCTCGGTACATCCGGGCAGTCCCTTCGGCGGTGCCCAGGCTTTCCGCACACGTCACTGTTCTTGCACTCCCTCCTGATATGCCCCTCCTGCCCGCACCTGTGGCACGTCCGTGTTTCTGCTTGCCTCTCCTGCCACTGCTCCTCCCCACCCTCGTCCTCGGTTATCATCGCTGCAGCCCACCTGGGCCGCCCTTTCTCTGACACCTTCGGCAGGTACGCCTCGTACCGCCTCTGCGCAAGCTCCACCTTCTCCGCCAGTTCAAACACCTCCTCCAGCGTTGCTTCAGCTCCTAACTCATAAACTCTCATTCTCAGTCCTCTACTCAGTCCTTCATCTAAACCCCCCAAAAACTTGCTAATCAACATACTGCTGTCCGTGCAGACCACATCCTCTACTAGGTTAGTGAGCCTCCCAAAGTATGTGAGTAGTGATTCCGCCTCACCCCGCCTAAACTCCTGAAACTCTCGGATACGGTCGGCTGTGTGGCCCGGGAACTGTTTTCTCAGTCGCTCAAAGAACAGCACCGTGGGATCATCTCCATCCTCATCTGCTCGCCTCAGCCACTCCGGCATCTTCATTCGGTACAGTGTTTCAGCTTCGCCCCCCAAGGTATTCGGTAGGCTTAAGAAAAACTCTATCGGGTCCATCCCGCTTCTATCGCAGCGGTACTTCACATTTGAGATCTGCATCAGGTAATTCTTCAGGTTGGTTCCTGATCCTGCTCCCCCCGTCAAGCGCACTGGCACCTCCACCTGAGGTGGGGCCTGCACACTCCACCTTCCTGACTCCCAAGTTCCTGAGATCTCATTCCTCCTGCTACTCTCTCCCCTCCTCTCCCTCATCTCCCTGCTTCTTGACTCTGTCCCATACAGCACTCGCTCAACTCCTTCCCTGGCTGCCCTTGCTCCCCCAGCGCTTAACCATGACTGCTGCCGCCTTCTCTGCCATGTCATACTTGGGCTCCTCCATCAACGCTCTCGGTGGCATACATCCTCCTCTGTCGCGTATGCAGTCCCTCAGCTCTCCTTCTCTGCCCTCTGTTGTCCTGCTTCTTCCTCTCCTCGACTTCAGGTTCCCTATACCCCTCTTGCCCTCCCTTGTACCCCTCTCTTCCTTCAGGGGGTAATTCCTTTTCACACCGCTCCCGCTTACCGCATTGGCGCCGATCCAAACCGTACTCATATTCCTCCTCTTCATTCTCTGTCCGCCCTTCTTGCGACCTCTCCCCTCTTCTGCAATGCTCTTCATCGCTCCTTCTCGTCTCCTCCCTTCTTTCCTTCCTCCTTCCCCTTTCACCACTTGTTCTCTGCCCTTCCAGCCTGCCCCTCCATCCCTCTCTCTGGCCTTCCAGCCTGCCTCTCCATTCCTCTTCTGGCAATTTCTCACCAAGTTCCTTCGCGCCCTCTGCCCCTGCTCGCAGGTGCTCTTCTCTTCCTTCCCGGCGCACTCTCGCATCTGCCCCCAAGATGCCCAACGGCGAGCATTCACTACTCCTGACACGTGCCTCCCCCTTGTGCCTCCGCTGCCGTACAGGCGAGCGCTGCGCACGCCTTTTCTCGCGGTCGTCCCCCCTTTCCTCTCCCCGCTGCTCTGGTGATCGCCATCCGCCCAGCGCCATGCGCCTCCTGCGCTCATGTCCGCGTCTTGGCTCAGGCGAGCCATACGCTCCCGCCTGCGCGTCTCGCCTCCTCACTTCCTCACGTCTGGCTTCTGGCGCACGCTCAGCCTCCTTGTCTTCGCCCCGTCTTGCGCTACTTCCGCGCATCTTGCCTGGCGAGCGATCTGCATCCGTGCTCCCGCGGCGCCCCGCGCCATTCCCGCACATTTCGCCCGTCGACTCGTCTGCATCCGCGCTCCCGTGGCGCCTTACGCTGCCGTCACCCATTTCTTCCGCCGCGCGACCTGCATCCGCGCTTCCATGGCGCCTTACGCTGCCGTCACCCATTTCGTCCGCCGCGCGACCTGCATCCGCGCTTCCATGGCGCCTTACGCTGCCGTCACCCATTTCGTCCGCCGCGCGACCTGCATCCGCACTTCCATGGCGCCTTACGCTGCCGTCACCCATTTCGTCCACCGTGCGACCTGCATCCGCGCTTCTGCGGCGCCTTGCGCTGCCTCCGCGCATCCCTCCCGACGAGCCACTTGCTTCCGCGTCTTTGCTCCCATCGTCGCGCTCTTCTTCCGCGACTTCGTCCTTCTCACCATCCCGCGCCATCAGGATCTCGTCAGCTTCTTCCTCGCCGTCGGCCTTACTTGCCGAATCCGACGAGTCCCCCACGTCCGCGTCGTCGGGACGCCTGCCACCCTCTCCTTGCTGGCCGCGCGCCAGCTTCCAAGGGCCGCTGCTGGACGGTTGAGGCCTGGGCTCCGATCTTGCGTGCAGATCGTCCTCGCCTCCTTCTCCACGTCCGTCAAACACCAGATCCGTGCAGTACGCCGCCCTCCGTGGCGAACGCGTCTGCGATCTCCCACGCTCCAGTGAGCGCGTCCTCCGCGACGGCGAAAATTCCCGACGCGAGTTCATCTGCTGCCAGCGCAGCTCGTGGCAGTCCATTCTGCCCGATCTTCGTTCTCTCCGGGCTTTCTCGTTGTTATGAAAGAGTTTCCTCCCTCACCCCACAGGTTCCCTCCTGGTGTGTGCCACAGAGTGCTAGAGGCTCGGATGACAACTTTCACTACTAAGAGAGAATAACAACGAGAAAGCATCGAGGGGTTGGGAGTGAGTGACCTTACCCAACCTCTGGCTGCACATTCCCAAATGTGAGGCTCGGGGTTGGGCTTCCTTGGTTTCACATTTCGCCCTTCGGTGCCCTTTCCCTCCCAATCCAACCGCTCCTATCCCGTTTCACCCCCCCCCCTTCTACACCCCTCCTACCAGCTGCCTCGCTACAATCTATACCTACAGCTCATTCCTATCTCATACTATTACAACTATTCCTACTGTTTATGGTTGTAACCGAGAGCACTGCCTACACCATCATCTTACTGTTATTGCATATGCATTAGGTGCATATGCGGTGACAATGATCACGAAGGTCATCATCCTGCAGAGATGTCAGGGACTTCTCCTGGTTGACCAAGTTACCTGCTCGATGAGGTGCGTGAATGTGTGCGAACGTCATCGAGGCTGTTGTGGCGAAGTCGACCGACGTGGCAGCACGTGGTCGACGTGGCTCATCATGTGCAACCGTCAGCATGTGGCTGACAACCTGCGCAATGTGTGTGACAGTGCACGCCGTGCATAACTGTCTACAAGCACCTGCAAAGTAGGTGCCTGCACATGTGCTTACAATCACCTGCGGATTCAATGTTGGCAAGCCGCGCGGATGCTGCGTTGGCAAGCCGTGCAGGTGCAGCGTTGGCAGGCCGCAATCTGCAGCGTTGGCAAGTCGCACACAAACTGCGTTGGCGGGCCGCAGACTTGCTACGTTGGCAGGTCGACAAATCTGTCACGCTGGCAGTCGACCTGCCTGAGCACTAGCAAACCTTGCATGTGATGTAGTCAATCTTTGCCATTGCTTGTTCTCATTCTGAACTCTGTATTCTCAACATTTTCCTTCGTGAAACTCTTGCTGTTTTGCCCTGTGAAAACACAAGTCCTAGAGAACACAGACAAAGCTACGATCACTCCTACAACCAGTGCCTGCCCTGTAGTCTAGCTCCCACCGTTGTAGAGTTAATCTCCTCATGGTGCGGTGAGCGTGGACGGCCCCGCAAGGATACCTTCAGATAGGAACGGATTTATCACTTACCTAAGTCGTTCGTAGGCCGGCAGCCCGTGCGAACTATGGTGCCTACCCTGGCAGAGGCCGGTGGGGCAGAGGATACTTTAGAAGCACGTCTGGCTGATGCTACGAGACGCCATGGAGAAGGCGAGTTTGGGACGGTGCTCCCCTTGGAGGTGGTTCTCCTTGGGATCCGTGCGAAGTGGGCAGCGGAACACCCTCCCCAACCTAGAGCGGACGGTGCGTCCGCCTCTCCTCGAACGGTGCGTAATGACGGCGGCGTCGACAAGGTGGTCGACGGAGGTGATCGAGTCAGTGGCAGCGTGGGCACGAGGCAGATAAGAGTGCTCAGGTCTGCCGACGGTGGTGTAAGTGGGAGTCAAGCACGAGTGCAGCGGCCGATGGCACCTCAACGAAGCAGTGGAAGTCTCTCGGCGACGACGCATGTGACAGCGGGCGAGATCGCGCCAGCGTATGGCTACTTCAAGTTTTCGCAGGACAAGATCACCGTCGCACCTCTGCAAGGTCGACGAGACCTCATCACTTGGAGGGAGTCGATAGAACCACAGCTGGAGGTCGCCGGGCTGAAGGGCTTTGCCGACGGTACCGTGCCAATTCCGCACGAGGACGATGTCGAGCTGCGCGGGGAGTTTCGTGCTGCTCACTTGCTCACCTTCATGGTCATCTCGAGGTGCTGCTCGCCGGTGTTCAGCTTGCGCTCAGGAGCTGCCGAGAGCGTCTGGATGCTGGTCACCAAGCATGGCACTTCATCCTGTCGACGTACCAGGCGAAGGACGACCTGTACATCGGACAACTAGAGGAGAAGATGACACATCTTCGGATGGGTGAGCAGGAGACGGCGACGGACTACTGCAACCGTGCTCGACGGATACTGGCCGAAATGCGGATGGCGGGCGCTGAATACTCTACGGCGTCCTACATCACCCACGTCGTCAAGGGCCTACCGCGTAGCTACTGTTGGTGCAACCCTACGGTTTGCACTCGGCTTGTTGTCCGTGTGCGTGCATG